CTGAGGGTTCTTAAAACAACTCTGCAATGATCACCTTTGGAGTATTAATTGTTAAGGACTGTGTGTTTCTGATCTCAAGTATCATCTCCGTGGTTTATGCATGTTCTTTGTGACTTATGGGCATGTACAGATGACCTAATTTCTGATGTGATTGTCCACCTTTAGTATTTGGACTTTCTGCTTGTTTGTTGTTTGATAAATGAGTCCCTGTCAACAAGACTTGGTGAAATTAGTGGAACTCTTGTACTCCATGACTGCATACAAGGTTGAGTAATTGGGGGTCATTACTGGAGCTGTTAACAAAGGAAACAGTGTTGTGGGAATCTATGTCCTAAAGGCATACAGTAACCTGAGTGCCTATCAAAAATAGAAAAAATTTAAATAAAAACAATGCAACTCAGAGGAACTGCACAGAGCAGATACAAATACAGGTTTTCCAGCAGGTGAGAAGTTGCAATGGCAGATATAAGGAGTGTGATTTTTAATTTATCTATTGTTGAACACAGGCCCAAACACTGTTGTAGTATGCTGTAGCTGTAGTAAGAGACCATCCATTCAAAACAGCACTTCTACCAGCTCCAAAAGATGGATGACTTTTCCTTCTAGGGGTCAAGAGTGTGTTGGTGTTTATCAATAAACAAAACTCAGGAATATTGCTCTGAAGGAGATATTGCATCCAATGGGCTTTCCAGCAAATAGTATTTTATCCCTAAGAGATGAAGGAAGTACTTTGACCATGCACATACTCCATGCTCTGTCAGATCTGCTCTGGAAAAGCCCTTTCTTCAAGTGCTCTTGTTCCCTCCAGAGCAGATGAGGGGCAGATCACACATGCTTTGCCATTATTATCCACAGGTTGCGCCTTCAGAGATGGAGTTTTACAACATTGGGTAATGAAATCTGTAAGGTCACTTTACCTCTCTTTGTCTGACAAAGAATTAGCACTCCTGATGATGCTGAAAATTTAATTTTGGCATCCTTGAAGTGAAATAGGGAGTGAAATGGGGTGGGGGAGGTGGGGGAAGGGCAGGGGGAGAACATGGGGAATGTTTATTACCTTGTCCTTGCCAGAAAAGCTACAGGATAATCTTTCTGGGCACTATTAGTGGTTGAGGTGAACTGAATTTATGGCTCATAGTCACTTGCTTATTTTGGAAGTGTCTCTGAACTCATATATTTTGGAATAGAGTCCAAGACGCCACTTCTGGCATTTAAATCCCGTAATGAATCACAAGTTGAGGATATGATTCAATATCTTAAATTGCATTATCAGATTTGTGACTCATGGTTAATGACACCAAGTCTGGCAGGGTTCTCAAAGATGCCTTCAGGAACAACAGTTTTTGATCATTTTTCTCCTGGTCAGGAGGTGAAGGTGGTGTGCACTGGGGTCACAGAGCTCTGTTACTGCAGACAACCAGTGTGTTGCCAAGGAAGGGCTGTGTTTGCACTTGCAAAGAGCTATTCTCCCTAACTCTCACTAGCAGTTCCACACTATAGCAAGAATTTCAAAATGAAGTACCCTCAAAATATGGCATGTGTGCTATTCTGTGTACATAATAGTAAAAATGCTTTTTATCCCTCTGTTTCCTCTGCTTCTCAGGGTACATATCAGCAGAGAGGCAATACTCAGACTCCCCTGGTCTTTGCACCAGCATCCTGCTGTAAGTATTATTCCTTGCTAGGATGACCTATATCCCCTCATGCTCCAGGACTGTGTGACTGGCAGGAAGTGCAAGAGAGGCCAAATGACAACGTCTCAGATGTGTGCTGCACAGCTACCAATGGCTGCACTAGCACAAGGCATTAAGAACCAAGTTTCTTAAAGCAGGTTTTTCTAATAGGAAGAAGAAATTAAAATCAAGAAAAATGGCATTTTTAAGGAAGGAGATTGAGGACTAATCAACTGCAGCTGTAGGTACTCAGAATATGCCTTGGAGAACTCAAGTGAAGAGGAAGAAAGTGAACTAACTATTCATAATATAGCCAAATTAAAGAAGTCTTTGAGTTACCTTCACAGTCCTTTTGCCAATTTGAGAGGAATAATGCTATACCCAGTGGTATCAAAGGCTGTGCTGAGATCCAACCAACAGCAAATACTCATTTCCTAGTTTTCGTTGCATATTTAGTTATCTTTACAACATAACCACAGGAATTATTCCCTGGTCTCTCTAAGGACTACTCCACATTAAAACTATAAATGATGCTGTAAGTCAGGTATTGTAGAAAATGTCTGAAAGAATATGAACAGAAAGAAATTGTAAACAGCCCCTTTCTTGTGTACTTTGTCTACAGATGCTGACAGACACAAAATCATTCAAGTGGCTTTGCTGCAAGAAGGTCTCTGAGATCTTAAGGTTACAATTTGGGTAACACTATTCAGCAGAAGACAATGTTCTCCTAAACCTCCCTAGATGATTCAGACACTAAATAGTGCCACCCACATCTGATCTGTGTTTGGCTGAGCTGCCAAAACATTAAAATCTGTGAAGAAAGCATCCTATTGAATGAAAGCATCCTAATGAGTGGGCGTTCTGCTTTGAGAGAGTTGTTCTTAAACCAAACACTCCAAGCTGGGGGAAGCCTAGGACAGCTCAAAGTCTGGAGTAGGTAGTTAAAGTGGAAGTTAAATTAATTTCCTCATTGCTGACTCCTGTTAAATGCTAAAAGGCACAAAGCTAGTGTGTGAAGTAGCACAGGACGTGCAAGTTGGGAAATTCTCCACTTCATGTCATTTCAATAGAAGGTCTGTTCTTTCGAGATGCTACAGACCTGGGTCCTAAGGCAGAAAAGCACAAACACCCCTCATGGATGGCAGACCTAGTTTTTTTCTGATTCTTTCAGCTGCTAGGTTTTCTCACAAGTATTCTTGTGCTTTCTTTCCAAACGGCCAGTGAGGCTCAATGAAGCCACAAAGCCACAAAAACATCTTCCTTTCACTCCTTCACTAAAGCTCTGCTCTCCTTACCAGGGGTTTGGTGGCAGTTTATTTCCCAGTGCATGAGGGCTGTTGCCATCTACACTGACCAAACATTGGCTCATGGTTTCTGTGTGATGTTCCTGATTCATGGAACCATGTGTTATCTCTGTGATTGTAAATGCAACATGGCAGGAACTCTCAATTTCTGTTCACAGCCAAAAACTAAAATCATTGTCCAGGAAATGACTCCTAAGCATAGTAGTAACAAAACTACCATGTTCATGTAGCAACGTTAAGAATATCCTGAGCACCCCTGAAAGACTGGGAGGAGGCTGATCAATATCCTGAAGATTAATTTTTTTGTAGACAAACATGAGCAGACTGTATATGCCTCAAGCAGGCAGGAGGGAGAGCAGGTTGGATATAACAGATAATTATGATGCATTACTTAGCTTTTATATCAGGAATTGTTCTCATTTCTTTCTGCTATATTATAATCCCTTTATTGATGCTCAGGGAATATTTAGCTTCTCTGTCTTGGGCATGTCTGAGTGTCACACAGTCTTAGTATGAAAGAAAGATATTTTAGCATCATCATCTAACATACTGGTTTACTTTGTCCAGGCTGGATAAAACGAGTCAAAACCCAAACAAGAGGTGCCACATGTTCAGTGCTTTCTCTGCTGTGAAAAGGTGTTCATTTTTCAGATGCAGAGAGAACAGATGGGCTTGGTGACAGCTTGACTTGGATACACACTTTTGAAACCTGTGCATTTATCTGGAGAGGAATTGGTTGGTTTTGTACAGACTATAATTTTGCATTTACACAGATCTAAACCTTCAATTTGTGCTCTTATTTAGGAAGAAGCACTTCAGTCATAGGAACCAATTACTGTGGCTATTGTAGGCCTGAGATTTTTTAATTAAAAGAAACCTTTTTGCTATTTACACCAGTAGTAATAGTGAAAATCTGGATGTGACAAGCTTCTGTTGAAATAATGTATTCACTAGGATTCTCTTACATCCCAGCCCTGGCATATGTCTTTTCTTTCAGCATTCATTCTCCAATTCCTAAAATGAGCTGCCAGTCAACCTCACTTCTGTACTTGTACCCTTCCAACAGCACTTGTGTAAACTAACACTTTTCTTTAGCATAACAGCAATTAAAAAAACCCCAAAACTCAAACACTATATTATAAACTGAATACACCTGCATCATGGCCAATTTGTTTTAGTTTTTGCCCAGTTTATTTCAAGAAAAAGAATGTTCAGATTTGTGTTCCTTTCAAGACATAAAATTAAAAGAGTATTAAAAATCAGTGTCACTATACCACTAAAGGGGAGCCAGGATATTCTCTTGTCTCCACTTGAATATCAGTCTTTGAAAGTAAGGTGGGGCTAACAGTGATTTCTCTGCTGGCTTTTTCATCATATTTAGTTGCCATCCTTGTGATGCAAACCCATTTTTTCAACATATTTTCATTCTGAAGAGCTTAAAGCTTCCCTGTAGCATTTTATTTACCGTAGCACCAGTATAGTGAGGGGGTCATTCCTCTCATTAAGATATATGATATGAAAAGAAAATGCAAAAGAGAAAAGCACAAGAACAGCAAGAGTTCTATTCCCACAGACCTTGCAGTTTTTCTAACCATTGTCCCAACCTGCCCCCAGGGAGCTCCAGGAAATATGATGCATCCATTGCTGCTGCTCTTTTGTCCTGTGACACTGATCTGTTGCCCAATAAAATATCCCTCAAAGGACAGCATGGTATCACAGCTGGTTTAGAACCTGAGAAAACCAGCTCTTTGCATAACAGGCTCTGTCTTCCCTTTGTCCTTTTAAGAAATGTACCCAAGGATATATTTTCTTGGTATTATCTGCTAACCAGTGCTCTCCACTTTGTGCAAAGCACAATCAGAGGGTCATTAACACAAGTGAAGGATGTCACATAATGTAATATCCTCTGCTCACCCACCTATTTTACGTACTTTTGTACTTGTCTGAGTAGATTAGGTAAAGTACAATCATTTATAAAGAAAGAATTTCATACAAAGAAACTTACTTTCTTTTGTAGTTTCTCTGTTCTTTTCTCTGTCATGGATCCACTCCCTCCTACTGTAGAGAAAAGGGTACATTAAAATTAATATTCTAAGCTGGGGTTTTCAAAGCAGACTATGGCAGTAAAGTGTCCGAAAGCCACTGACATTCAATGGGAGCTAAGTCCTTAACCTCTTTGAAAATTCTTAGCCCAAATCCATTAAGCATACTTCAAAGAGATAATATTCACAATTCCAGGGGTAATTTTCCTAACAGCCTTTTATTCTCATTTCTGACAGGCCCTTCCTCCCTAGATCCAAGCCCCCTATTGAGATACAAAACCAATTTGCTTCCATGTCCCTTGTAATTCAGACCTCAGCTTTAGCTCTGGTTCTTTTGAGGGATTTGTTTTTATATTTAATGACACACAATAATTTATGTCTATAAAACACAAAATAATCTGCAATATTGCTTTTCCATCTCTATCTGGTCTCATCTGTCACTATACCTCTTATAAATGGGTGTAACTGGGGCTTTATAAACACACACTAGTTCACTCAGATATTTTGACTCCTTACTGTGAAAAGTGAATTCCCATATTGTGTTTTTTTGTTTACGGTCACTTTTGATAATTTGATAAGAATTAATTTATCTCTACCAGTCCACATCCCACTTTGTCAGCCTTTCCTTCTAAAACAGTTCTACAGCAGTTGTGACTTGTCACATCATTTACTTCAGTCGTTTTTCTCTTCAGTGATCACTTCAGTGATTTTTCTCTTCACACCCTGGCAATCATAACATTAGAAGGCTTCACTGATTAATCAGGTACAGAAAATGTGATCTGACCATAATTTTCGCAATTAGTGATAAAAATACGCTATCAGAAGGCAGATTTTAATTGCACTGAAAGTCAAAGGATGCTGTAGTAACAAACCCTTACTGAGAATCTGCTACACTACATTGACACCTTGTGGCTGGTTCATCTTAATGCAAAGTATTCACCCAGACTAGTAGGAATAAGAGTAAGTAAAACGTAAAACCTCTGGGGAAAATATTTTAGTTTTCAATACTCACAGTGAATGGGAGCCTGATGAAGGGAATTGATCAAACTCCACTTTAAATTGCAGTCTGACCCAGCCCAAACTCAAGTATATATGTTCTTCAGTGCTGAACACAGAACCAAGACCTATACATTTCTGATTTTCACTACAGTTCAGATCTCTGTGGGATCCAGCCTTGAAGTGTGTGTCCCAAGCTTACCTTAGGCTGCCCTTCTCCAGCTGACATGTTGTATTTCAGCTTCCACAATGAAGATAGTGGGATAAAGAATGAACAGATTTTGTTGCAACGGTATCTGCTGCCAAAATAGAATGAGATTAAAATTACATTTACAGAAGGGAATGCAAACTTTAGTGCGTGTGTGTGAAATAACACTCTAGAAAGGTCAAACAGAATGAAGATGCAGCATGAGCAGTCTTTTTCCCTGCCTGCCCGATGGAGAGGAAATGGCACAGTGCAGGAAGCCTGTTTCAAACAGGCAGATGGGCTGTGACATAAACCCGAGGCAGCTCATCTGCTCAATATGTAATCATCGTATTTGAAACCATTTTCCTACAGTCTTCCTGAGAAACACAGAACTACCATGAATTCACATAGAAAGGAACTGCTGAAATGTTAATAAAGGGAAGGATTCGAAAAGGATTCAGATAAATCACTTACAGAGTGCTCTGGCCAGCAGTCAGTGAATCACTGAGCAACATTCAATGACTTCTCAGGAAGACTAAATCCATCATACAAGCCTACCCTTCCCCAAAACTGATTAAATGTGCTTTGGTTCATTCCTTTGCAGACCTGGAGACTTCCTGTATCAGTCAGTGCCATCACATGAAACAGAAGCTAATTGTTTCAGTAAAGAACCACACTTGAATCATGACTTTGGTGTTCTGTGGGCAAATACTCTTCCACAAAATAAGGGCTAGTTATCCACTTTTTGAGAATGGGAGAACTAGTCATCAGGGAGTCCCTCCTTTCTCCTGCTTATTTTCCCCTTGGAATAACGAGATGAGGTTGCTTGGAGGCCCTGCTGCTGCCTTGGCAGAGGTGTCAGTTACCCACAGCTGGAAAGGAAATTCACACCAGGATCTGTGGTGATGCTCTGGTGTCTGTGGACCTTGAGCACTTCTCGGATGCCTTTGGGCAAGAATGGCTGAGTTGGGGGCCAGCCTGCACTGACAGCAAGGGCCCAGTTCCAAAGTCAAGGATATAAAAGGGAGGAAGAAGAGAGTGGGAAGGATGCCTGGACTGACTCGGTCTGCACTCCACAATAATTGTTTTGAGGTTCAGACAGTTTAAGGGTCATTAATTTCCTGTGTCTAATTTTATTAATTAAGAAAATATGTGGTCTTTTGTCCACATGGGAGTATACAGTAACAAAATTCCATGAGGATGTGGTTAGGAGTTGAGTGATCTGTGGCTCTGCCCAAGGGAGAGCTTCTAGAAAAGCAAATATCTGCTGGATAAACCCTGCCTCTTGCCATGGATCACAGCCAAGTAGCCTCAGCTTAAGGATAGCTATTAACATTAAACAACCTGCAAAATTTTGTTAGTTCAAATTGCAGTAGAGTTAAATGATGATTCTTTAAAAAGAATTACAGTAATCTATTCATTGCCATGGAACAAGATATAATTAAAGAAAGTCCTCCAGCAATAACTCAATTACATATATTTTTGTTCTAAACTGGCTTTTAAAAGATTCCTTAATTGAACAATTATTTACTCACTACAAAACTGTAGCTCAATGCAATAATAAGTATCCTTAATACTGCCATGCAAGGCACTACTAGAGAAGAAACCAGTCTTTGAGGAGAGGTGTAAAGGCAACATGTCCTAAACAAAACCTGAAACTTTGTGTCACTGCTGTTGGATGTAAATTGATTGTGAACTTCTCTCATCTCTCCATAAACACTTATTGCCAGCATTCAGTAAAGGAAAAGACAGCTGAAATTACAGAGCCTTTCCCCTCTGAGTTAACGAAGGTGTGGTGTTTGGAGGAAGGTGGAAAAGGAGTGGAAAATGCTCTTGGGAAGTCAAGAATCCTGAAGTACAGCAAAAAGCTTCAGCTGCTCTCCAGAGTAGTGAGGACACTGCACATCCCAGTAGCAGGATTCTTTCCTACTCTTATATAGCAGTAATATGTGCAACCTGCTGCATTACTGAGCAACCCAGAGCTGGGGCCATTCAATGTGTTCTTTGCATTAAAAGTAGTTTTCAGTCTTAGTAAGCTCTTCAATAGAATTCTTCTTGCAACATACCCAGACCTCTTCATCACGCCACACTATTCCCAGCAGCTAGTTTGCATAAATGCATTGTGATTTGAAGACTGAGGTAAATTCACTCACATACCTGTGAGCTGTCCTATGTCTGTTGTCCTCACTGACTGTTAAATTTCCCAGGGATTTTAGTTTTTAAATTTACTAAGCCAGAACAACCAAGGAATATATTCCAGGCCACACAGAAAGTCTGTGTTGGGGAAAGTATATCAAGGTAATGCTTTAAGCACAACCAAGGTTCCCTTTTTCTTTTTTGCTCTTCTCTATAAAGAACCTATGAAATCTTTTCACTCCCTTTTAGATCCCTGCCTTCCTACCCTTTGGAATCCTGCCCAAATCCCTTCCTGACTACCAAATATTCTCACATCCCCTCTGCTCTGCTCTTCAGATAACTACAGGAGTGAGCACAGCAGCTGCCTGGATGACAGCCATCAACCCAGCCCTCTCTGCTCTGTGGTTTTCCCAGCTCTTGCAATGAATACATACTGACTCATGAAAATGATAACAGATGTGAAAAAATTACAGCTTTACCACCTGTTGCTAGTGTAATGGATTTAATTACTGGCAGACAGCTTGAATTATTTTGAGGTATTTTACAAAAGGAAGATTTCTTTATCCCCTGTGGGAGATCCTTGTTGAGAAAATTGTGGTTCCATAAAGGCAATTCACAACATGGGAGAACCCTGCACCACAATCCCCTCTGGTTCCTTACAGATTCCTCCCCACCAGGAATTTTCCCTTGCATCTTTCTCTGATATGTTAATTATTTCTTTGCCTAATTGACCTGATGAATGTATCTCAGTTATATACTTTCAAACTGTCTTTAAACTGACCATAATTTCAGAGTTGCTTTGCCCACCACACTGGTAGTCACCCTTATACTGATGGGTGCTTTGGCTACCATCATTCACAAAAAGAGAAAGAGCAGTAAAACTCAAGCCATAGTCACTCCAGGTACTAATTGCAAGTGGAAAGATAACTGCAAATACATCCTGTGTGGGCATTTTTAAATTCCAGCTCTGACCTTGTTCAGTGAAGTTGTTTCTACTCAACACCTGTATGGGTATTTGAAAATTTCTGTATTGCTACTGATAAGTGCGAGACAATGGATTTAATTGAGCACTAGTATGTTCAAGCTAGATTATATCTTCAGTATGTGCTTGAGGTTGGGAGACTGGGAAAGAATATCCTTACTTATAGCATGATGTCTGCTGAGTGGCCATTGAGTTTAAGAGGTTAAATTTTTACCAAATAAGAGCTAGAAGAAAGAAAGTAGAATCGAATGGGAAGCATGATATAAAGAAGATGTAGTCTACCTCTCACTTTTCTCTCACTTTTTCTCTCCAAGCCAAATTTTATGCATAGAGTGGTATATTTATTTTCTTTAGCATCATTGTCAGCTATGGTGGAAGGTTATTTGTGCCATCATTGTCAGCTTGGTCTTATTGATTGCAGTCTGCAGCTCAGATTTTGCATCTCTTTTGTCTAGTAAGCTCTTCCCAGTACTTTTTTTTTTTTTTTGTCATTATAGGACCATCATTAGTTGTTTTGTGTAGTAAAAAAAAAAAAAAAAAAAAAAAAAAAAATTGAAAAATTGAGAGAGAGAGAATAAAAGAAACATAGAAGGAAAAAAGGCTTCTTTAAATTCAGCTGTGTGCTCTTCAGGAAGTTGATCACACCTCCTGAAAAAAGATATCAGGGGTTGCTTAGCAATAGAAAGATGGCATCCTGCCTGTCAGATGGCCCTTTTCAGATGATTTCCTAGATAAGTACAATAATTGGAGGGAAGCATCTTTTGTGGTTGGCTGCCCCTTGCAATGTCTAGGTTAACACAAGGAGAAATGCTATGCTTCAGCAACTGTGCTGCAGCTGCTGGCATCTCTTTTCTGGGGAATTAGAATATAACAGTACGTGATATTGCTTTACTTAGCATTATCTTCAGCTAACATGATTTTAAAAATATTATTTTTAGTCCTATAAAGACATATTTAGGAATGGCTGCCATCTGTCCAGACATAACAATACAGAAAATAAGTGTTTCACTAACGATCAGGAACTAATGCTACTTCTTCTGAAAGAGAGGTTGTTAAAAGGCTAATTGCCATAAGCAAGAACATAAGATACAACAGAAGTTATAATGGGAAAGCCGACACGTGAGCACATTTGTCTATGTGTGAGTTCAGGAATTTTTGTAATTCCAAGTGGTGCCTGCTCATCATTTTGCTGTCGCTGTTACAGCCTCCTTAATTTTATTTCTTTTTCTCCTCGTTTTTACCACTGGGAAAGAGCGCAGAGGTTCCTCCGCAGAGCTGCATTTCTGCGTGCGGCCATGCAGCGGCACAGGAGACCGGGAATCTGCAGAATGTGGCGGTTCTGAGGCAGGAGCTGCTCCGGTGCGGGGCTGGGCGGCCGGCAGGGGAATGCCAGGGCCCGAAAGGCCGGGCTGGGGCTCGGCAGCCCGCGGTGCTGTCCCTGCCCGATGGAGCCGATGCCACCTGCCAGCGGCAGCGACAGGGACAGAGCTGGCACCATTGTCTGTGGCACTCTGCTCCAGCTCGTGCATCGTCTGTGGCACTCTGCTCCAGCCGCTGTAGGCGTTGCCTGTCCCGGCTGCCCGCCGGGGCAAGGCCCGGCTCGCATGGCTGAATGCTTTTGCTGAGGCGTTCCCTGCTGGGTTGGTGGCACTTCTGGCAGGCCTGCAAAGCTTTGTGCCTGCTCTGGGAAATGGCAGTCATTTCTTTCCCTGCTTGGGAAAGGCTCAGGGTGCTCCGTGCCCCATTTACCAGCTCTGTTAATGGCCTCCCTCCATTAACCAGGCTCCTGGATTCAGAATACCCACTCCACTCCTGGTAAAGAAAAGATGTCCATGGGTCCCCACTGCTCATCCTTGGTACACACCGGAACCATCCTCGGGGCAGATCTTCATCGGGTGTCAGAGAAATGGCAAAGCCGTTTCATTCAGGTGAGGACAATGTGATGAGGGCTCTGACCCTTCCTGACGTCCTGGAGACTGCAGCAATACCGTGGCTGCAGAGCCCTCAGCGCATTCAGGACAGCACTGGTGAGGTCCCTGTAAATATATAAATGGAAGATGAGTCCACTTTGTATAGCCCATGCTGGGATGATCATGCTTTCTGTACTCCAAGGAATATTATGCCTCATATTTGAATCATTTTCATGAAAGGAACCATTTCTTCCCTTTGGTGGTGCCAGGCAGCAGGGAGAAGGGGGAAGAGTCTGCATGAGAATACTTAATGCCTTTAGTAGGATTTTATTTCAGGATTTTAAATCTCCTTGGTGTGAATGAAACGGGTTCAATTTTAGAATTAATCTTGGGCT